ACACAAAGTAGATCTCTGAACTTGCAGGGACGTTTAGTACGTTAGGGAAGCCTAGTAAGGAATTCTGTCATTCTCCTAGAGAAAAACTAATCATGTATCTGCCAAGTGAAGAACCTCGTTAAACCCTGGTAACAAAGTGGCGTTCTTTCTTTGGCAATTATTTTTATGGCCTACCTTCGGAATTGGTGCGATAATCCACCATAATAGCTGGTGATAATGTAGCGCCAGTATCGCAGGCTTGGTCCGGAGGTCGAATCCCGCCCAGGCACAACTGGTCCATTTTGAAATCTATTAGGTTGTCGAGAAAATAATGTCACTTTTTGCGACTCCTGCTTCTTCTGAGCAAATTTATTGCAACAGGCTCGTTGGCGTCGATGTTGTCAGTAGTAGGTCAAAAGTGTTCGCCGAAACGGTTTTCCGTGCTTCTCTTTTTGCCAGAAAAAATCAATGGTGGCCTCGAAAATTTTTCTTTTGAATATCCTGATTCTTTAGACTTGAGGATATAAAAACACTAGAAAACATAGTATATCAATCTTTGGAGGGCGTTGCTCAAGCGAGAAAAAATGCACTGTAAATCGTTTCGGCGAACAATTTTGACCGCTACTGTATGTTTAGAAAGGCTATTCCTCGCGCTCTCTCAATTTGTGTCTTAGTATTAGCGTTGATTTTTTGGCAGAATTGTTAGCTCAGAAATGGAGACACCAAACCAAGAAACTTTTCTGCTTTCTTTCTTTATTTGAAGTAATTTTCAAATAATCTACAAATTCCAGCTTGGTGGAACTGATACAAAAATAGCTCGAGGATGTGTTCACTCTACTGGTGTTTATCGATCAATACTGTGTGCACAACGCTGAGATATATCGTTTATAAAAAAAAGGAAGATTCAAAAATGGCATTTCTTTCTGAACAACCTAACACTATCTCACACTAATCTCATCTCGAAGATAAAAACGTGTACCCGACAAGAAGGCAGAGTGCTAGTTAAATAGAATTGTACGTCTATCGTACAGCAAGCGCGCGACGTCGTTCGCCGACCCCGCCTTCTTGCCGCGCGACGAACCTCCTGTCGGGTACCCGAAAAACGCCAGTTTTTACATTGATTGGCCCCCACAATTTATTGCTAAGAATAAATTACATTCAAATTCCACTACGAGTGTAAATACGCGTAGAATACATGGGACGTTCCAAAAAAGATGGATCATAGGCGCTATTACTCATTGAACTGCGCATTTCAGATTTATTACTGATCACATAGGTGTCATTAATTTCTCAGTAGATGAATGTATGCACATGAGATTGAATTCGATGGCACTGAGGTATTTCTTCTTCCAGTTCTTCACCTTTCAATGGCATATTTTACTACTCTATGCCGCCTGGTATTATTACGATAGGAACTCGCCAAAACGTGGCGGATATGCTAGTGAATGGGTTCAACGGTGAGTGTTAGCACGTTCTAGAAATGGTACACCGAGGTCAGCGTGGTAGATAATTTTATTGTTCTCTGTTGAAATCGCATTATTCTGCGCATTCTTCTACACCATTCGAGTTTTGTAAGTAGAATTGTTGTGAACACAGCTGAGTTCCAAACAGGGAAAGGTTAGCGGTTGTAATAGTTTAATAGTACCCCTTATTCCTTCTGCGCTTTACGATGCCGCTTTGTAAAACTGCTGATCGCAGTCTGTAAGCGATTGAAGTTCGTCCAAAGAAATCCGCAGTTGGTGCGGCAGTTGGTCTATTACCTCAACGGCTAATATTTGGGAATCTCTGCATGAAGTTTGTTCGTCCTCACAGGAGGGACGACAATAAGGTCTTGTGTAGAAGAAGGGAAAATTCAGAGGACAGAAAGGCATCTTTCCGAGGGTGCTGAACGATGCGCTTTTCGCAGCAAAGGATAGGCCTCCTAGCGCCTAGCAGCGACATCAGCGACGCTCGCGACGTTGCCTACCTTTCAACGGAGTGCCCCTTGCCGTCAGAATATAGCCTTGGACACTACCCGTTCAGCAGCGAAGCAGAGCAGAGCGTTCACGTTGGTGATGAGACGCACATCAATGTGGATATCGGGGGGCGTAAACGTGGTCTTATTTCTCGAGTTCAAAAACATTTTTCATGTTTTTGTTTCCTTCATCCGTGCACCACTGACCATCCCATACCTAGACCTCTGATGGGCTGCATTTCCATCGAAAAATCTGCTTTGGGTATGCACATTTCCTTGACCTTTTGCGGTGGATCATTCCAATATTGGTTTGAAACGGCTAAAACCGAAGCCTTAGATATTCTAATTAAACAGTCGCTTTCAGATGGACAGTGCACAAATGGTTTGCCGACTACTTTCCGGTCACTCTTCACAAAACTGTCGATCTATCACCGAACCATGTGGGTGCATACAATGAAAATTGACTTACCTTACCATACCTGGGAAGGCATTCAGCTTCGCATGGAACTTACAAGAGACGACAGACCCATATATTTTGATAGTGCTTCGAACATCGACTACAAATGTGAAAAATAAAACTGCAAAATGAACTCTCCAAGTAAGTTGTGAGCAGCTAAAGTTGGCTGGAACTGAAAGCGTTTCACATGAATCGTGGTACGTCCAGGCATTCAAAGTCGCCATGGAGTAGTTGTAGTGCTCTCGAAAGTTGCACTACAAGGCAAAGAGAATGCACTACCTCCCGGTTGGAGAGCGAGAGCACTACCACTGCTCCACTGCGACTCTGAAAGCCCGGAAGCTAGCACGGTTCATATGTAATGCTTTACTTCCAGCCAACTTTGACTGCTCACAACTTCCTTGGCAGGTTCATTTTGCAGTTTTAGTTTCCATATTTGTAATCAGCGTTTGAAGCTCTATCGATATATCTGGGTCTCAATTCAAAGTTCCATGGGAAGTTGAATGCCTTCCCTGGTTAGCGCTGGGAAGAGCCAGTCGGTTGTCCACACATGTGTAATTTTCAGTGCTCTTTTTACTTTCGATAAACATGTTTGAAAAATTCCCCGAAAAAAATGTTCAGAATTTTTCGAGCACTTTCGATGTGGCATTCAAGTTTACATATTAATATGTATATTTGCCACAATATCTTCATAATCACTTCTCGAGCCATACCTGAAAGTGGAAAGGAAAGCTAGAGAAATTTTGGGGTTTGCTGAAATTAAGACTTCAGTCTTCAAAATAGTCGGATGTGGAACGATGATAGCTAGGGCGTTCAAAAGGAGACAAAACACGCGAGAGATCACGCTGTTCGGAGAGAGCACGAGATGGGGTGGGAAGCGTTGCAAAGGGGGTCGATGGTTGCAGGCCCTGAAAGAATAACGCCCTCACCGCACAACTTTTGTGGCGAAGCTGAAGTGACCTAGATAGGTAGAGAGCTTACAATTTCCCTCGCGATATCCTTCCCACAAGTCGGCTTACCCGGGGCTCGCCTTTAAGGAGAGTCTGGAGGTTGCACAAAACATTCACCACACAATCGGCAAACGCAAGCTCTTTCAATTCACGGGTTACTGATGAAATATTGTTCAGGACCTTCTCTATTGAAGATGATTAGACACTGGCCCATGTTTCTTTCAATATTAGCTGTTAGACATCGGTCGACTCAAAAATTAAGAGAAATAACAGAGCGCGACAAGAATACGAGAAAGAACTAGTTACACGTGGAACGCGCAGGACATCAGTATTTATAGGTCAAAAAGGCAATAAAATGGCAGGCGTCGCAGCCGGTCCAGGCGGGAACTTGCCATTTCTGTACCGCCGCAATTTCCCAACTCCGTCATGCTTAGGAAAACTGCCTGCATTCCATGAAACTTCCCTTAATGATCTAATAAGTGCGGCCTCGTGCCTTTAGCTGTCTGAGAAACAACGTTAAGTGTAGCATTTAGCAGAAAAATAACTAGCATGAAGATACTCGTGGAGGAACAGTAACTCTTTTTCAGAATTACCTTGTCGGCTGCCATCCTCATGGAATTATTGCTATGGCCGTTTATGCAAACTTCGCCACCAATGGCACCGAGAAGTACACTAAAGTGAGATCTATGGGAATTGTTTTCTTTTCTAGTTCAAGTTTCAGTGCCAGAATTTCGAAATATTTCAGTTTCCGGGCATACGCTTTTTGGTGTGCACTTTGACATTCAACTTCAAAATGATGATCAGACGTGAACTTCTGCTTCTACTCGGCTGCATAGATGCGTCAAAGGAGAGTATCGAATACGTTCTCGACAGCCCTGAAACCGGTCGCGCAGTCGTTATAGTGGTCGGTGAGTGAGCGAGGTCAAAGCACGTCTACAGGGACATCTTCACAAAAAAGTTCGATTCTTCATGCTGTGTATAGTGTAGTAGCCGATTCAAGAAATAGAATGGCAACCAAAAATTTCGGTGCTAACTTAGTTGGAGGGGGGCACGCGCGGCGGCGCGGCAGTCTGCTCGCCTGGCATGTTCGGAAATCCGTGGGCCAGGGGGAGTGTAGGCAGTCTAGGGGGGTGGGGGTGGGGGCAGTCACTTGACATGCGTGAAAAGCTGGAATGTTCGAGTTTACACTGTCTCGCTCGAGAGAGCCCAGGTGAGCAGACTGCCGCGCCGCCGCGTGCCCCCCCCCAACTAAGTTAGCACCAAAATTTCTACCCCTGATGTATAAGGTTCACCGAAGGCTTAGGAATTTGCAAAAAAAATGTGGTCTCCTTGGCGGTCCCCCAAGAGGCCCATCGCGCGGCGAAGGAAGGGACGTAGATGCGGCAATGGACGGGTCCCAGCGCATGCGGTGCGATATGAGACGTAGTATGGTACACTCTATGGCCGATGTCATAGCGTTGCGCCAGCGAATCGAACGTTGCACCAGCGAATCGAACTTTGCGCCAGCGAGTCGAACGATGTACCAGCGAGTCGAACTAGGTACCAGCGACTCAATAGTGGCGGGACCCAACGTTCAAAGGAAGCCCGCCACTTTCAAACAGTGTCCACTGTCAAGTCCCGCCACTTTCAAACAGCGTCCACTGTCACGTGACACTGTTTGAAAGTGGCGGGCTTCCTTTGAAAGTTGGGTCCCGCCACTATTGAGTCGCTGGTACCTAGTTCGACTCGCTGGCGCAAAGTTCGATTCGCTGGTGCAACGTTCGATTCGCTGGCGCAACGCTCGGATCCAGCGATTCGCTAGCGAATCGCTCGATTCGCAAACTATGACATCGGCCTATTCAACTGACGCATAACCGCCACAGTATGCGCTTTGCAACTCGTCCTTTGCCGCGTCTGCATGTCTTTCTTCGCCACGCGCCGGTGGACCACTTGGGGGACACCCGATCTACTTTTGCGGGCGAGCATTACTAATTGATGACTTTTTAATATCATACACTTGGTGCCAGATAGCTTCAACAGCATGGATAGGAGCATTTATCGACTTTTAAAGGCAGCGATTACGATAGATCTCAAAGGGGTTTAGAGGGGACGTGGGGTCTCAATAGTACGCCAATGGCGAAAAAAGCAAAGAAATCCGTCAAAAATAAGCAAAATAGTACCCCTTTGATTGCCCTTTCATTTTCGACCATGGATGAGCGACGGTAAGAACGACGTTGTTCGGACGTGTTAACCCCGATAGCCGCCATCATGCCAACAAGCATAGTGTTTGATTGAAGGCAATACGTGGGCAAGTTGGAAGATACAGCCGCTAGAAGGGAAATGATCATCCAAAATGAAAAGCCAACAGCAAACAGTCCATCCAGATCATCAACAAAACTAGTGGGCGTCACGTCACTGGGGGCGGGGCGTCACGCGGGTCCTGCTCAGCAACCACAGCACCTTTCGCCGTGGGAGGACCACACATCGCTTCCTTGGCAGCCAAGTAATTGCTCCGTGTGGCGCAGGTTCTCCCCCGATGCGAAATCGTAATCGCTTCCTTTAAAGACCCTTGCGATTTGTGGTTGCGCGGTTGTCAAGCAACTCGTGAGCGTCCATGCAGGAAAGCATATATTTTTGGTAACACTTAGGCTAAGATTCAAAGCAAGAGAATAGATAAGAGATGCTGTAATCGTGTGCATGTGCGAGAGGGCCAAGGCAATACCACATAACACTGACTCCCAAGCCTTGGAATTGAAAAGCGCCTAGGCATGGCGCTGGTATCACTTCTGCCATTAAAGGAATCCTACCCAAAAAATCATGATTCTATCTCACCCATAAATCACTGGCTTGAGACCCATCGTTCACGATAAGAACGAAAAGAACAAAAAATTGCATTTGTTTTGGTAAACAATTCGAAAAACCGGAAGGACTGCTACGCGTTCAAATTCCCGCCGGACATCTGTCACAAATGCTGGCGACGGGAACGCTTCCACTTGGTTCTCGGAGTGCCGTCACTAGAAACTCTTTTTGACCTTTTGACTTATTGCATTCACATCTCACACTTCTACTGCATCCTATTCTATCGATCGATTTGTCTCTACTCTCCAAAATCGCACGCTTTAACCCGATTCTTTCATTGCGTCGCCTGATACGTAGCCGCCCCAAGGCGGACTCTTTCCATGCCCCGCCTTTGGCTCCGCGCCGACCTACCTTCGACTGTCCATAGAGTGTGGTTTTCGTGAGTTTGTTTCTCTTCGGAAACCGAATCTTTGTGCGTGAAACTTTGTGTGTTGTCTCTAGTGATCACAACTGACATATTCATGCTGTAAAGAATGCAAAACTTTTCCAGGAAGGGCTCCTTTAATTCCGGTTTGTTGCCTGACCTGACGAAGCGCACCACAAGATACAACTAGCTTATGAGAAAATCTTCCGATTTTCTTGAATTTCAAGAAAGAAAGGTCATCAACACTCTGTGAATACTCGATCAGTGTAGGACAAAAAATTACAGCTAGATGACAATATTTGCAATTTTCACTAAAATTAATTTTATATGAAGAATAAAAATAAACAGTGAAAGTAGCAGGCATAATTACGGTCACTGTTGACGAATTTCCATCTGCACATGATCTACCACACATTTCGATTTTCAGGAGGAGCCGAAGAGGCATTAGACGCACATCCTGGCTACCACACACTGGTCCTCAAATCACGGAAAGGCTTCGTCAGGGAAGCGCTGAAAACTGGTGCATACCTGGTTCCAGTTTACTCCTTCGGCGAGAATGAGGTCTTCGAACAGGTTGGTGTAGCAGGTTCCTCCACTTAGGGCACTGTAGCGCTTATTGTTCTCAACGGTTTCCTCCCGCTTCAGGTCGAAAACCCGAAAGGATCGACCGTACGGCGATTTCAATCATGGATGAAGCGATTTGGTGGTTTTTCCCTGCCGTTCTTTCATGGGCGAGGCATCTTCCAGGTTCGAGCAATTCAATTACGATAGTGACGTTCCCGTTGGCCAATTGGTGGTTTTCCAGCTCACATTCGGCTATCTGCCTTTCCGGAAGCCCATTGATACGGTAGTTGGAGCGCCGATTCCAGTCAAAAAGACGGAAAATCCGACACAGGAGCAGATCGATGAACTCCATGAGATTTATATCGAGAAGCTGAACAGCCTGTTTGAGGAGCACAAACAGCGATACGGTGTCCCAGCTGAGACGAAATTAGTATTTGAATGAGCTCATAAGCTCGAGGTGTTGTAGATAATGTAGATGCAAGGTATAAATATTATAACATCTGGAAACGCGTAACGTCGTGGGAGTCCAATAAGGCTCTCATTTTTTGGTGAGGATTTCTGTCCTTCTTATTGAAAATTGAAGGACGATTCCACGATATGGACGAAGGTCGAGGTAGGGGAAATTACGGAGAGACTGGTGGGCTTCCTAAGGGTGCGGACCTACACGCAATTCGTATCGAAGGATATACCCCGGCTATCTGGCAATAGCCCTTCCGCTCGGCGCGATCGGCGCACGGTAATTGGTGCGTATCGCCCCCCCCGTGTCGTCTCGTGTGTTAGTCGCTAGCCATCCAGAACGAGAGAGAGAGTTAGCTTTGAAGGAGCAGCATCCTATGCACGAATCAAGGGGGAGGGAAAGGCTCAGCGGCGGCGCGGATGCGAAAGCGGCTGGTGATATAAAAGTGACGTCGCAGCTACGGCAAACTTCAAGGAAGGGACAAGCAGTGTCTAACGACGCTACCACTTTGCCCAACTTATACTTGCTTTCAGGGTGAAAATCGCTTGAGGAAACGGCAACGGCTCGTCGAGGATTTCTTTCACGCTCCCACGCGGATGCTCACTCTCGCAACTCGCGAGCCGTCTGTGCTCTCCGCGCATGCATTCACTCTCGACACTACTCTCGCACAGTAGAGAGCCATGGTCGAGGAATTCCTCGACCGTTATTCACCCTGCTGGTTCCGGCACTATTAGGGTTCACAGGTGGAGTTGATTACAACAAAATCGCTCTTCGAGCTCGATCTCTACGTCTACTTCTCATCACAGTGGAAAAAGAGCACGATCAACATTTGGAGCACTCATACACTGGGTAGGATATATGAAGAGCGGTCTTTGCTATTGCTCTGACCGCCACAGTGACGTCACCAACACGGGCACGCGTGCGCGCCACCGGTGAGCTTTTCCATGGAGCCAGTCAAGGGTTTGGTCCCATTTCTCGGTCTCTAGGCCATTTCTCGGTGAATTGTTGTTTTCGCTGTGTCCCAGACCATCTTTGACTTAATTTCCAAATACGCTGCCTTTCACCGTGAAATCCGCCTTTGATTCTTTTATGCCGTCTCAATTCGCTTCAGAGCTTGTGGGTGCAAATTGTTTCAAAGGTACAAACACTTGAACTTTTCCAGAGCTGCTATAAGAAGAACGAAGTTCGAAATCCTTCTGTATGCTAAACTTGCTTGGATCGTTGTCGGGTTGAATTTGATACCCCTACTGGTAACGCCGCGGAATTCTAAAGTGGCCATTTTCGCGCCTCGCCATAACTGGTTTCAGAGAACGATATGAAAGATAGGTGCTTATATGGCGAACCCAAGGGCATACAAGTCCCTCATTTTGACCCATCATCATTTTTGTGCCAGATTATCTTGGTTTGATGAACAAAGACACTAAATAATCTTTATTTAGGCAACTGTTAGTTTTTAAATATAGGAAACGCTAGTGGTCTCCGTTGGTGGTGTGATATAGCCTGGTGGTGGATGGTATCGATTTGGAGTCGCGTAGCAACAACATGAATCTGAATGACAGCTTAAGGACGTACCGAAGGACCTCAATTGAAACACTTTCCAAGGAGATAACCCACCTGCCCTGGAACTCAATCTTGCATATGAGATCATGGTAAAGTGAGTTTTAGAGGCGAAGTCGCCGAGACCTGCCAGTGCTTCAAAATCCGTGTTGAAAATGGATTGTGTCCGATTCTGCAACATCAAAAGTTTATTAAGTCACAAGTGCTTATGTTTTAGTCCGATCTGGTAACACCAAAAATTGCAGAATTCAGGAGTTTTCGTCTTTTATTAAATTTACTTATTTATTTACTATACGTACGCGTTGGGTCGTTAACAAAGAAGCGTACAGTATAACACTAGAAACTCGTCTAAATTGTGGCCGGAACAAATGAACCGACGCAACTCCCCAAGCTTATGGTAGCGATCAGCGGCGGGACACGATCTCCCCTGGGGAAAGGAATAGGATACGCCCGCAGAAGAAGCAATATGTGGGGGCGGTGAGAGCAGTACCGATGGCAGTAGCATCAAATCGCAGTTCAACGGACGACGACGGGGTCCCATTCCTCGGGTACTTTTTCGTTTGGTTCTCCTTTCATGCATCACTTGACCATATCTAACTTTACTTTCAGGGCTGCCTCTCACGAGAAGAATAGCGCTCTAAGCAAATAAATTCACCTTCGTGAAAATCTGAACTTGAGAAGAAATTGCAATTCTAGGTTATGTATGCCGTTGATAAATCTGGAAAAAATACCTCTAATGTAACGATGACCGTAATTCTGCGTGCTGTTCAAACGAATTTTTAGCTGGAACATCCATAAATTTATTCTTTTTCCCCAACGAGGATGACTTTCCGGTCACAAATAATCTCCAAAGCGGACTGCAAGCTCTCTTATCTTGAAACCTGAGCCAAAATCTGCTACGAGGTTTGTGCGTGGAAATTTTATCCTGGCCAATATTTCGACCTTCACGGCGTTTTCAAAAGCTCGAAATTTGTACGCCTTTTTCGAGTTCTGGTTATTTCTCATGGGTCCTGATATGATGTCAGAAACGCAAGGAAGGGAGGCGTCCGATGGATAGTGAATATTTCTCGAGTCTTGAGCCATACAATGAAAAGGTCGAAACGTTGGCCGAAATAAACTTTCCGCCTAAAACTTCCTGGCGAAAATAAAGGAAGCGATCTCCAAAGCATTCTTGTGCAACACAGCCTGCCCGCTCCGCGCTTATTTCCTCAATAATGCACTTTCTGACTGATATATGCTTGCCATCAGGGAGGTCTGTTTTAAGAAAAGTTCTTTAAAAAGTACACTTGGGAATTGTCACGAACCGGCCGTATCGTAGGAATGGGCAAAACATCTCAAGGACGTAACTGAATACAAACCTGTAGTGTGTTCGCAATCTTTTGTACATTACAAGTTTGCCATCCTTTATCTGCAGTGAGCTCTTCAAGTACGTCTCGCATTACTCGTTCCAGTTCCCGATTGCAGCACATGAATCCTGAAGGAAAAGATGACTGTGAAAAAGATAATTTATGAAAACGACAGGCTTTAAAAACCATTAGACATACATAACAAGTTCGACTACCACTCAAAACCCAAGAGTGACTCAGAGCATCACCAAGTAATAAAGTATTAAGTAAAGTCTAACGTGTTTAGAAACTCAGTCATCCCATAACAACAACTGGGGGAGTTTCCCTAAACTCTGCCTATGCAAAATAATATAACTTCGTATAGCATACATTATACGAAGTTATACGAGTGGCGGGGCGTTTGCTAGATTTAGGCGCTAGGGGCCTAGGTTGGAGCATTGGCGCCGCCCCAACCCATTGAGCCCGCCCACCGTCCTACGTGATCTTCCAAACAACCACCTGGAACGCTAGATGTTAAGCCGTTGTTTGGAAAGTCGTAGGGGAGTATTTAGCGGATTTCAATTGCGAAAATCGACATCAAAGCCTATCTTACGACCATTTTGGTTGTCATCATTCTAGTGAGAAGAAAAAATTTTAAGATAGGAAGCAAACAAAAAAGCACAGGAAAATAGAAAAAATAGGGAAACTAGGAAAAATCATTGCTGACTTTTTGTGGTCGTGTCGGTTGATGGCACAAAGCCAACAGTTGCTGTAGACATGTCCAAACACGTAATTTTCCCAGCCCTGGTTCGTAAGCGACTAACGAAGAGGAATTTCTAATTTTGTAGTTCTTTGGAGGTATTTCCTGCTTTTTTCATTACCTTCGATCAACTTAGCATCCCAGCTCTTCACACTCGAACAGGTGAGTCCCTCGTTTTATCCCGGAGTTTGCCTTCAAGTCTAGGCACAACCCAGGATGAGTTCAGGTGCATGAAACATATTGTCGAATAGAATAGATCTGTTCACGAATGTTCGAGATGTTCCATTTTTTTAGACTCCAAATTTTGTAACAAACGCGCTAGGGCTTTGCAGAGACCTCTTCGACTCCTCCATTTTCCTGTCCGGAGCATGCTGGTGTCTATGCTCTCTCTTCAGTTGTTCTCTCGTGATAGCCGTATTTCTTCGTGTTCAGGCTCTTACTGTCTCGGCCCACAAGTTATTATGTCGCTAGATCTACCGTTCTGGACGAATTCTTTTTTCTCTACTGCTGGCCAACTCTCACTAACGCTTCCATTTTCGTGTGCAAAAACCACACCTGCTTGATTCTTCGGTGTGCATCCAAAGCACGGGTCGAGATCGAATATATGTGTTATCTTGTTACAGAATTAGGCGAGAAGTGCGAAGAGGAACAGTAGAGGGAAAGAAGCAAAAGCACCACAGAAAACACTTGAACTCTCTTGTGGGGTCGGTCGTAGTATAGAAGAGGGATATAGCGCTACGAGGGGTGGGAAAACGCGAGAGAGCCCGTGTCCACGAGAGGGCGCAAGCGCCACGTATGCCACGATTTATAAAGAGGGCAGCACTGGAAACGGACAAGCCACGGCCTTAGCGCCCTTTACGCGCACTTTTGAGTTGCGGCAGTGCCGCGAATTCTGTGCTAGGGGACCCTCAAAGAGGCATTGGCCCTTGGAAACTACTCCTGACCCTTGGCTTGAAGTCCCTATTATGCATGTGGTAATTACACAAGTTCTTGTGGCACTAAATTCCAGATCGAACTTCTACCAGATCAACAAATCTCGGTAAGCTTATGGGGTAGACTATTAGTTAGTAGCTTCACATAGAGATTTAACACATCAGCTGGCCTGCAACTTCTTGCATTTGATGGTTACAGGTTCAAAAGCCAATACGATTCCGATTAGTGAGGTGTGCACAGCACATTGAGTGCACTGTCATTTTTCGCCATGTCCTTCTGCGAATCAATGAAAACTAACCACTGTCGTTCGTGTAGCACTGCGGCAGAGGATATCTAGGCTTTGGTTGCACATAGACCGGCTGTTGCGCCGGCTCTTCAAACTGTCGCTCTGGTAGTCGATAGCGCATCGGACTTGTGAAGATCTACAAAAGAAACAACTAGTACGAACGAGTTGACCAAACCTGTTACAAAGCCACTCGACTAGTCCGCTGAAAATCAAAAATAGCCATAAAAACCCTGAATTCAGGAACTGAGTAACTATTGTTTTCGACGGCACACTAATTTCAGCCGTTTCCTTTCTGATAGCTCTCAAAACGTAGGATGGAAAGAAGAAGAGCTTGCTGTAGGACTGCGTAAGTTGTAGAAGAACCTGTATTGAAAAGAAAGTCTCTAACTAACCGGTTTCATTAGCTCTTCTTTCAGAATGGCTTGCTCAAGATTGCCAACCACAGGTACGGCTGGTACCACAGGAAATGATCCCTGATCTCTCAGAGGAGGGCTCTCAACACCTGGAAAAATTTCAATTCATTAACATGTTGAGCTTAAGATATCATAAGAATGGATGAAAGAGAGCATGAAAGCTTCCAAAAGTTTTTTCTATCTCTACTCAAATTTGCAGCGAATAATACGATGGTTATTGCGAAAACTAGTTGAATTCCAATAAGGGGGAGCAAGCAGTGCGACAGTTCGTGCCCTCTGCAGTTGGTTCAATTTTTGCAGAAGTGGAAGCTACGAAATAGATATGAAAGCGGAAACTAAATAATATAGCAGTTCACGCACCCCGGATTTCCTTATTTTGCAAAAATTGAAACAATTTGGGCGTCATGAAATGTTGTACCACATGCTTCGCCAACCCTTACTGGGAGTGGACCCCCGAATCGTTTGGGTCGTAATCCTTTTGAACTCACTGGGGTTATATGGGTCATCTCGTAGTGGTAAGACAAACGGCTGCCTGACGTAGATCGGCCTTCCAAAGACGTACACCTTTGTCACAGGTGTATTATTTGGTGGAAAGCTATACTGTTGACCCTGGAAAGTCCATTATGAGAGGAGGTCGTAACTACCGCTGTTACTCAGTCCCTACCTGGCCTTGTACCAGAGCTTCAGAGTTGTTGCTCACGGTTTTTTCAGAGCTATCGTTTGCTCTGAGAAGGACCACATTCGTGAGTAGAAGTACGGTAAACCTTCGTATCATTGAGAAGTCAATCCTGAAACTGAATAAGCATTATGTTGCTCTGAAATTTTTGGCGAGCAGTCGGAGTTTGACGGCAACAAGACACAGGGAACACTCAAAACTCAAACGACGGATATAACAGCTCATTCAATGGTAGTTGAGTTAGCTGCAAGTGGTTAACCTTTACCTGAGACTACACTGGTCTGCAAAATTTAAAGGGGGGAGGGGGGG